ATCTATGAGGTCACAAGTTTTCCCAAGTTTTTTTTTTTGGTCCAAGTTTCTTCTCTTTGTGAGTTTCAGGAATATCCCCATCTACAAATCCAAGATCCACATCTATGAATTGAATTTGAAGGATCCAAACTATAGATCATCAAGGCAATCAGATGTTAGGATAAGCATTGTTGTTAATCAGAAGTTCAAAGCACAAATTTTACTGTTGTTATTTCTCCACAATATCCATAAGCCAGATCCAATCCACAGTATCATTAACAAGAGAGCAGTTGAATACAGCCTAAAGTGAATAGATAAGCATTGAACTGAACCTTCATAAAATCAAAAAGTTCCTAAACAAATGTAAGAGAGAAAATTGAACTTGGGAAAATGCTTTGAGAATAAAAAGGAAGAAAAATGGCATTTGAGATTCATTCATTCTACAGACATCACATCAATGGCTGTAGTCATTGTAAGCAACAAAAGCAAATCTCAAACACCTAATAATATTACTAACAGCCAAAAGTAACACTGGAGAATGAAGAAATCTAGAACAATAACCTGAATTCGTGAGCTGATGAGGAGATCCCAAGTTCTTCTGCTGCCCCATTTCTCCATTATCCTTCTCTTTTGTTCTCTCCTTCCTGCTTTATTGCTATATTCTCTGCCCATTTAAGCTCTGAAATCAATCTCCAGATTCGTTCTTCTTCCCCAGACCATCGTTCTCCCTCTCCTCCAGCAACTTCCCGGACTCCTCGTCGGCCTGAGCAGCCTTCTTCTGCGCCTCCTTCGCCTTCATAGCCTGCAATTTCGAGTGATTGTAGTAGGCGACGCCCATGAAAGCCAAGCCATAGCCGAACAAGTTGATTGGCGTGACAGTGTCCTTGATCACCGACCATGAGAATGCGATCAGGAGCCAGTCCTTGACGACGCCGGCGACATTCATGGTTAGGGCGGAGGTCTTGCCGACGAGCAAGAACACAGCTAGATTTAGGGCAAATGCGCAGAAGGAATTGGTGCCGAAGATGACAAAATTGAAATGGAAAGTGGATGTTGCCTTCAAAATTGGGTACTCGACGAAGATCCACGGTACTAACAAGAAAACGAAACAACAAGGCGCAACGTAATACAAAGAAGTGATGGGATTGAGCGAGATTCCTTTAGAGGTGAGCAAAATCTGGATCAGAACAAGCCGAGTGGCCTCGAATGCAACGGCGCCGAGTTGCAAAATCACACCCCAGGTATCAAATTTCGCTTCGCCATAAGCAGCAATCGCGACACCAAACGAAATCGACAGCATATTCACCATCGTCTCCGACTTGAATCCTTCCTTCTTCAGAAGAACACCGATCGAGTACACAGCGACCGGCATCAGAGCCTTCAGCATCTGGATGAACGAGACGGAGAGGTAAATGTAAGCTGAATTCGAAAGCCAGAGAGAGAGAGAATAGAGAGCCCCGATTGGGACGACTGAGGAGAGGTACAGATCTCTGGACATCGACACCGGTTCCACGAGCTTGAGGACGCGAATGAGGATGAAAGCGAGGGAGGCGCAGAAACCCATATGGATCATGGTGAGAGAAATCGGAAAAGGCCAATCGTACATCTTCTTGTCGAGGATGAACTTGTTGTAGACGATGACGGTGAAGCTGAGGAAGATCCAAATGGCGACATAGGTGTAGGAGAGGATGATCTTCTTCAGAACACTGTCGCTCAGCGAACCGCCTCTGCCCATTGTCGATTTGCCGGAAGAAGAACAAGAAATCGCCGGAAAATCAGAGAGAAGATGAAGAATTATCACCGGAGAAGATTCAGAGAAAGGGACTGAGCTCGATTTTAGTACAGATCGGTGAAGAAGACAGAGACAGAGAGAGAAATCTGGCAGAATAAATAAATTAAGAATTAATGGCGTAGGCGTACGAACATAGGGAGTCTGTAGTTCCAAAACTTGAACCATTGGGGTTGATTTTTTTTTCTTTTTTTTTTTTTGGGTTATAAAAATTTGGGGGTTTTTACTTTTTAGTTTTTATTTTTATTGGGGTTTGATATGGCAATAAAATAAAAGAAATTGTGGGGTCCTTAAAATGGGAAGACTCTGTCTTATTTTGTTGTCTTGTGTCCAATTTTTAAATCATTGGTGGACTCCCATGTTTGAATTTCAAATTTGAAATATTTTGTGCATTTTATTTATATGGAATAACAATTTTGTTTAAGGTAAATATAATTCAGTAACAAAAAATTTTTGTACCATCAAATATATGCTTTAATTAGTTGGATAATAGAAAAATTCTTAATTGGTCTAGGAGTTGGTACTAAAAAAAGGAATTTTGTTTATGTGTTTTAATTGTACCTCTAAAAAATCTTTATTTAATATTTACATTTGAAATTTTAATTTTTCATAGTTCTTCTTATAAATTTTTCAAAGGAAATAATATATTTAATATTACAAATTGGAGAAACTAGGGTAGGGAAATGAAATGGCTTGTATTTCAAAACTAGAGGAATTTTTTAGAGTTGAATTAAAGTTGTATTCGCTTGTTCTCTAAACCATGACAAAAGATTTGTGGACATGAAAATTGGGAACGTGTTATGGTTCTCAAAGTCAAAGGATTTTAATAGATGAATTGAAGTTTTTCTTTCTTTCTAAATATTCAATATAGTTTTAAAATGATATATTTTTTAAGATGATAGATAGTAAATATCGAACATTTAATTTGTTTAATAAATAACAATCCTAGTTGGTTACTGTTTAGGAATTAAAATTATATGGAACGATCAAAGAAAGAGAAATACAGATCCGTGAAGAAGTGTCAATAATCTATTAGAATTCTAGTCAAAATCAATACTAGATTAAACTCTCTATTAAGGAAATAATAATATTTAAGTGCTACTAGTCAAATTTAATTTTTCCTCGACACTAAAGTTTTAACCGGTGGGGATGGAAATAAGGAAGTATAATTTTTTTAATGAAAAGCCGTCAAATGTTTAGTCATCGTCGACGAGATATATATTGACTAATATGTAACCGAGTATTTTTAAAATAAAGGCCATCATATTTACAAAATTTCACTAATTTTGGTTCAACGGTTCAATTGTTTATATTTAAAAATGAACTACATTTTTTCCTAAATATAATTAATTAGATGTCAAAAGATTACAAGTTTCGAACGAAATTTTATGGTCAATGATATATTTTTTAACAGTCGAGTTGTATATCCTCTATTAAAATTAAAAAGCAATTTAATTGCATTAATTAGGAATCAGTTTTCTTACCGAGTCAAACATTAATAATTATAAAGGGGAAAAAGTAGTTTTTTTTCATTAATTCAATTGCTTAATATGCCTTTAATGATTGTGCTTTCAAAAAAAATAATATATATATATATATATATATAACATAACATTTACAAATTTAAGGAGAGATGATTCAAATTCATAACCTTTTGATTAGAGACAAATATCAATTAACGCTAAACTCATGTTAGTAATTATATTTTCAATTATGTTAATATTCTCAACTATAATAATAGTATAGCGAGTATTCAACATTATAATTAAAATACTAATTATAAAAAATTAAATAAAAGTAGACGGTAATTAATTATTTGAATTATCAATTACTATATTAAATTTATTAACCATGACTAAATTAGTAAAAATTATATGTCAACTTGAATATAACTTAATTGGTTAAATCATCGAGTCAAGAAAACAAAATGATTTAAATTATTTTCTCCACCTTATTAAATCACACCATTGTCAATATTTTTTTAATCATAAACTTGTARTAACTTTTATAAAGTTACATATTTACTTGTTTTAATAACTAAAGAAGCTACATATTTATTTAAAAAAGAAAAAGTTAAAACCATTTTATAAAACTTTATTTTAGAAGTAATCATTTATCTTCCATAAGTAAAGTGTTGCCTTTGCTTGCTGTATTAGCCAACAAACCAAATCCCTTTCCCCTCATGCCTTTTAAACTCAATCATGAATATTTTTCAATATTATACAAAATAGGATCTATTATTGATAAATATGCCAACAGTAACATAGTTCAATATATATATATATATATATATATATTACTATTATGATTTAGTTGTCATGCAACAATTATATACTTTGAAACAAAATTTAAAAATGTGTATGTATTAATTTAATTCAATAAACTCAAAAAATTTGATTGATATTCTCACATTTTATAGGATCTATGTAGTGGAGTAGCTAACAACTTTATATTTTCGCGTACAGTCAACATACTATATCAACGTTTAAATAACAATATTTCCTTACCTGAACTTATTTAAAAAATATATAATTAAATTAACCTTATTTTAGTTCAACAAATAAGTAGGATGGAGATAGAAACATCTACCCAAAGAAAGTAATAAGTATTTTATATATTGAATTATATTTAGATTTACACTAAATTTATAATTAAACATTTAAAACGCACGCATATATATGGTTGTCCTAAAAAAAAGTTTAATAGGTATAAAATGAAATGGTCRATATAGCAGTATATTATTAAAGTTGGCAGTTGGATTTAATTATAAGCGTTAGGTTAAGTAATAAAGTCCTTTTAGTAAAAAAGAAGCAAAATAATGAAACACTTGAAAATACAAATTCGAAACAACATCACACGTTGTTGCCTTAGACAATGCTGTCGATCCTTAATTTACTGGCCATGTTGGAAGAGGACAAATAATATAGTTTAAAATATTATATTTATATATATATATTAATTTTAAATTCTTACAGTGAAATAACACCCAAACCGATAGTTAAAAAGAGAAAAAAGAGGTATAATTTCACTTAAAAAGGAAGCGTTTTTATGGATAGAAACTATTTGTCGTAAAAAATAAGAAATTATATATTAAAAATATTATTGATAATATATCAATTTAATTATTTATGTTAAAAATATCATTGAAGTAGTAAATTATATACTTTTTCTGGTGACACAAAATTGTCAGTATCATATATATTTTTTGTTATGAATCCAGAGTGGGGTTGAATCATAATTGAATGAAAATTCAGACAACATTCTTTTAATAATTGTTACGTGCCATTATTTTTAAAATATAGAAGTTAATATCTATGTAGCATGATTAAATTCTGCTATTTCTCATTAATTATATTAATACTATGTTTTCAAATTTCCCTGACATCTAGCGTTTGTAGTCCAACGGTTAGGATAATTGCCTTCCAAGCAATAGACCCGGGTTCGACTCCCGGCAAACGCACTTTTTAATTTCTTTTCCCTTTTCTTTTTTAAAATGTAATTTAACTGCCGCTTTACTGTGTACAATATGTATTATTATTTTTTAAGTTTAATTCAGCAAATAATTGAAATTCAGATGACAATTGGATAAAAGGCTTCAAATAATAATAATAATAATAAAAGAAAGAAAAAATAAAAAGGTATGGAATGACCTTTAGTATCAAACATCTTCCAGCTAATTTTTGTAGACCGTCAGAAACTTTCTCTTATTAGGTTGTCGTATTTGTGAATAGCCTCTTGTCGGTCTCTTTTCTCGACTTATTACATATATTATGGGGTTCTCATATTTCGTCTCGTTATTCCTTCTTAATTTCTTGGACTTTTGCTTTGTTGAATCCCGAAGAAAATAAAAAGAAAAATGTGTGAGAATTAGTAACTATTATAATTAACCTATATTTGTAAAATTTTAATATATATAATGAAAATTCTTTAATACAAACTTGTAAATTATAAAACATTTTACAAACTTTAGTTGGTGTAATAGCTGAAATTTTGATTATAAAATATTTTACATAACTTTAGTTAGTGTAATAGCTAAAATTTTGATCAAAATAAATGGAAATAAAAGTGAAAATAAATAGATCAAAATGATCCTTTTTAAAAATGTACAAACCAAAAAGTAATGTTTAAAGAGTAAAAAAACTAAAATTAACTAAATGTGAAAATATAGGAATTAAAATAGAAGTAAAACAATCAAAATAAACTAAAATTGAAAATATATGGGAAATAATATTTAAACCTTATTTATATTTGATGGTTAATTTCAATTTAAAAATTATTATCTCTAAAAGTTCCAAAGTCAATTAAATTTTTGAAAAATATCTGTAACTAAATAATAACCATTTTATTGTATTACATATTTGTCAAATTTCAACAATAAGCTCGTGTCTAAGAAAGATTTCACGTGGTTTCAAATTAAAGTATCTTATTCAAATTACCAAAGCGAATATCGTTTAACGGTACTTGACATATTCCTCTTAAAAGGTTGTGAGTTCGAATACCCTCCCACATGTTGTAATAAAAAAATATTTTGTACTAATTAATATATATATTTATTTGAAATAGGCAATTAAGTATCTTGAGACCAATCGATCACAAATAATGTATAAGAATTAAAACAATAATTTAACTATTTTTTTTTTTAGTAGAAGGGATAATTTAACCAAATTAATGTTATAAAATTTGTAAAAACTATAACTAAAAAATGGAAGGCATCAATGTTCTTCTGATTTGTGACTGCCTCGAACAGATATTTTTGGTAGTCTAATCCATTTGACAGCCAACCGTTCGGAATTTCAATGGCGTTTTCAGCTTTCTCGGCATCGGCAGGTTGCTTCAATTCCACTACAGTAAAAGGTAACGTTCTCATTCTTGAGAAAAATTCTCGTAGTGAACTTTAAAAACAATCTGCAATTTCTCAGTATTCTCATTTGGCAATCGAATTCCGCAGCAATTGGAGGTTGTAGCAACCATAAGCTCAACCTGATTGACAACGGTCTCCACTATTCTCCAGCTGCTCGATTCCCTCACCTGAATGGCAAGGTTCTGCTTCTCCTGTTTTGATTTTTTTGTTTTCCGATTACTCAGAAATGAAGCGGAATATATATTTGTAATCTCCGGATAATTATTTGAAATGTTGTTATTGATGGAAACTGAAAATGCTCGATCAAATAGGCTGCGAAGAATGATCGGAACACAAAACCTAATAGCATGATTTGTGGCGATTGTGATGGCAATGGTAAGCCGATTTCTAAGTTGCTGCGAATGATATAGGTTTTGCGAACGCTGAATTTCTTTTAATATATGTAATTTGAATTAAACAGGTGCTGTTCTTTGCTCACAATGCAAAGGAAGTGGAGTAAATCCTGCCGACGTATTCAATGGTCAGTTCAAAGCCGGCGAATCTTGCTGGCTATGCGGGTAATTTGCTCCCTTCTGTTCATCAGTAGCTCAATCTTTTTAGTTCAACTATTTAATTCAGCATCCAAATTACAACTGCAGAAGAAATGGATAAGTTCTTTTAACTTGCAATTAACTGATATCCTGAGCTGCTTCTGTTTTTCTCATATTATTTTCCTTGAAAATGTGAATTCTACATATGTCTGTGCTACTGCTGCCCCAGAAGATCTTCTTCTGATCAATGGCTTTTGTGATGCAGTGGGAAAAAGGATATGCTGTGCGGGAATTGCAATGGAGCTGGCTTCATTGGAGGTTTCCTCAGCACTTATGATCAATAGAATTATATATTTTTCATGACTGATACTCAATTATTTCTACTAATTTATATACTGTTGCTGAACAACACTTCTCTTAGAGTATTGTTAGTTGTGTATATGCTTGTACATATATATATTTTGAATCTGTATTTACCAAGTTTCTGACAGTTTGTTTTGACAATATTTTATATAAGATTTGGCACAGTTGTGCAATTTTAAGCTCAGGAGATCATACTCTGATCAAATCAGTTTTCCATCTTATACTTCTAGCTTATTAATTGCTAAATGCCTCACAAGTTACAATGTTGAACATTAGCTTTCCATATTTTCTGCAAGCATGCTCTGTCCTACATCTTGGATGCTAATAGCTCTTCATGAATTGACTCATCTGCTTTTGAAGCAAGCGGGTAGCCTCGGATTCAGGATGGAATACGTGAAATACATGCGACTCGTCTGCAGCTTCCAGCAACTTAACCTCCTTTACTTTCATTTGCTGCAAAAATTTTGCATACAATACTCCCCTTTCCTTCAAAAAATCCAAGCCAGCCACAAAAACCGCCACACCAGGAAACTGACTCCATTCTTCTTCAGTCACTTGTGCATTCTCGAAGTTACATCCGAAGTAATCGCGGTTTCTGCCTTCTGGTATGCTCAATCGCCAGAACATATCGTTCATTTCGACATGTCCTTCTGCCCCTTCAGCTTTCTCTTTCTCAGTTCTCTCTTCACTCCCAAAATAAGGATGGATTAGCAGCAATCCTTTGATGGTCATGTTGGAAATGTTGCTCTTGATGGTTTTGATTGCAACATTGTGGACAATGTTCCCGCCAGCACTGTCCCCGGAAAGGAAGACGTGGGAAAGATCAGCTTGCTGCAACCATGGCTCAGAACTCGCTTGATGACCGAGCCATTCAAGTGCGCTGTAGCAATCTTCATAAGCTGCAGGAAGCCGATTCTCCGGTGCCAGCCGATAGTCGACGGACAGGATAACAGACTGAGATGCAGCAGCCAAGTCTCCAAGAAAGTGATGATAGCCAATCCAAGTAGTTGAGCCAATGCAAAAGCCACCACCATGAAAGTAAACTACCACAGGAAGTCTTCCTGCAGCATCAGCAGCAGCATCAGGAAGAAACAACCTTCCAGTAACTGCCTTTCTCGGGTCGATAACGACGTCCTTGAACTTGAAATTCTTAGATGATTGGGTAGCCATTGATGCAACAACATCAGGGATCAAGCGACGAACCGTTCCATCAGAGTATACTTTGAGGTAACCCGGTGCTTCTCCTATCAATGCCATTTGTGCTTGAAATAGTTGGGAGTAATACTATTCGAAACTGAAAAAATGGCGAACTCTTCTAGATGTGAAGTTCTTGTGGGAGAGGTTTGTAAGGTTTTTTATAAAGGCGAGTTCATTCATAAAAACAAAATGTTAAGTGGGTTGGTCATGCAAATTGCAAAGGAGATTGATTAGATGTTGTCGTTTGGAATTAGGTGAAAGATTTTATTTTTCAGGTGGCCAGAGGGTTTTGGAAGGAGATAGTTTGGCCCAAAACTGAAATTAAGCAGAGAAAAAAAAATCCCAAAACTGAAATTAAACAAAATAAAAATAAAAAGAATAAACATCTCCCAAAACTGAAATTAAGCAAAAATAAAAAGAATAAACATCTCCCAAAACTGAAATTAAGCAAAATAAAAAGAATAAACATCTCCCAAAACGGAAATTAAGTAAAATAAAAATAAAAAGAATAAACGCGCCAGGTAGGGGTCGAACCTACGACTTTCTGCTTAGGAAACAGACGCTCTATCCACTGAGCTACAGGCGCTTGTTGATTTAATATGCCCATCAAATTATTAATATACGTTATCACTTGGGAACAATTGGACCAGAAAAATTAGATTATTAATATTTAATTCACGTTAATTTCTTTATTCCATTATATACATATATAATATTACATTACAAATATAGGGATTGGTATGTCTGCACTTAATGAATGTCTGTCAGATTTTTCTTTTTGTATGTATGTAATTTTATCATGACAAAATAACTATAGAAGAATATTTAAACATTTACATGCACCCATCTATATTGTTTGAAAAAAAAGAAAATATTTTTTTCTATATTTTTTTCTCTCTTTAAACTTAATGGTGATTAAAAAAGATGAAGGCTAACAATTAGCACCCAAACATACTTCAACATAATCACAATTCTAAAAATAACTTTGAATAAAGAAACAAAAACTATTTTCAAAATAGTTTTCCTTCCTGACCTTACCATACTTCATCTATTTGGTTGCAATTAAAACTTCCCCAAAACATAACAAAAAGATGAATTTATACCAACATCCCTCTCCTCTCCAAATTAGAAATTTTTGGAGGAAAAAAATATATCGAGTAGATTTTGGCCTATTTGAAGGAAAATTAACAATAAGATCATTTAAAGAAGAAAAGATCACAAACATAATGAGAATGAAAGAGTGAAATCCACAAACAAAATGCAGTTCATTCACTTCAACAAAACTATAGAAGGAAAATTAACAATTAAAACTGCATAATAATATGGTAATTCTATACAAACCCACAATTCTATCATTCATTTTTGCCAACATAAAATGCTCATCTTTTCATCTCCCTGTGATGTTCTCGCTGTTCAGAGCCACGAGAACACATCTATGGTTGAGCTTCCACCCCTGATCTCCTTCAGAACGTTCAGCGCCGATAACGTCAGCTTCATGTACATGCTCTCCATGTACTCGATCTCTGCAAGATCTTCAGGAATGTTCAGCACATTTTCTTTACTCTCCGTTGCAGCCTTTTCCTCCGCCTCCGAGCAGCCCCTTTCTTCCACATTGATCACTTCAGCGGGGAATGATGGGTCTTTCTTGAAGAAGAGAAGATCAAGCATCATTTCACACTCTTTCAATAGCTTGTCGAGCACGTCGGTTGAGTAGAACGGTTGGTGTAACACCTTCTTGATGAAAGGCACGCGGATGAGCTCGCCACTTCGCTTATCGTACTTCTTTAGAATCTTCGCCAGTCCTGTGCTCGGTATGTGTTAAATGAGATTTAGCTAATAGAGAAGCTTTAGAATGAATATTGAGTCAGAAGACAAATAACATTTGAAGATGGCAATGGCAAACTATTCAAGTGCCACTGAATTCATTGATAGAAACCTATAAAATCTGTAACTCCAAACTCGAACCTTCTGCCTTCATGGTGCGAACGGGCGAGGCAAGTACTCATTCTTTTCGATTCGGTTTTCAGAACGTTTTAGGGATGTCCGTCATCACTACTTAAGGTGGTTTTGATGCAAAAACGTCATATTCTCGATGAGAGCCCTTCGTGCATAAGCCCAAAGGGTGACCCTAGTAATAAGGACTTCGGATATTTGAAGATACCCTGGTAGAAAACTTTACAATTTGTAACTCGAGTTGACCTATGAGGAGTTGGTCACAAGCACAATCCAAGGAGCGACCCTAGTAATAAGGACTTGGGATCTTTGGAGATACTTGGTTAGAAAACTTTACTGTTTGTAACTCGAGCGGGCCTAGGAGGAGTTGCTCACGCGCATAATGCAAGGAGTGAGCCGATAGCTTAGCTGTTTAATTTCCGGTGTCAAACTATAAATTGTAAAAGTCAGCATGAATTAAGGATATGACTATGATAACTTTATAATTAGCATCCAATATTTTAAATGTCTTAACATCAGGATGACTGCCAACATACATATATTCTAGAGGCATTTGCACAAGAAAAGGCAATTTCATTACAGAAAAAAGAAAGCTTCACCAACCTGTGTAATTAAGGGCACTGTAATTCTCTAACAAAACCATCTCTCCATGAAAGTCCACAATGTCTCTCCCTACTTTCATCAGCATTTCGTCCGAATCTTCGATCTCCGCTATCCTCTCCTGCAATAACTGCATTCCCACAGACATCTCATCACGGATACAAATGCTTATGTTTGCCTTTTCTATGTCTTAAAGGGAAATGAGTAACAGTCTACTACTACCAGTAATAGAACAACCTAAGAAGCATGAATATCGACAAATATGACACAAATACGAACACGGTGGTACGTCATTTTCTAAAAATCCAGGCTGCATAAGTTTATACATTTTCATACTTCAAAAAAAAAAGTTTGATGTATTCTGCTCAATTTATTATTTTGTCCTACATGCTACTTTTTATGTCTGTTCCTTATGGTTAAAAAGTATTCGTTCGTGCCTATAATAAGTGTCGATTCACTTTGTAAAACTAGTACGTGACACACATCTATTGAACTAACAAGTATACCATACGTGTCCAATAAGCGTCCAACCTGGACGCGTTACAAAAATTGAAGCGTCCATACTTTGAAAATTCAAATATTTCAAGACTTGCATTATAAACTGCAAGTTTCTAAACCAACAACATAAACAAAAGCTAGAGACAAATCTATACTGTAAAAAAGCAGCATTGGTTTCATCAAGTTCAAGGGAGAAAAGTATGATTTGATAGATATCAACAACACATATTCAAGTCACAAAGATGGAAACAAAATCCCAAATCACTCCAGAAGTGCAGGGCAATTCAAACACACTTTAACTAATTGATATTTTCATCCTCAAACCCAAGCTGAACTTCAGAATCCACACCTCAGGATCATATGAACTTCCAAACATTTTTCTTCACCAAATATCAAATTTCACAGCAAGACGTATCCAAACCATAAGTGGAACTGATGAGAGAGAGATAGACGAAATCAATAGTAAAACCAAAAAGTTAGTGAATTACCTTCCACTTGATAACATAATACTCCTCCTTGCCTTCAAAGAAGTGGTTGAACTTGGCCAATTCTTCCTCCAGCAGATTCAAAAAGATTTCCATGGATGCTTCTCCATCCAACTTTCGGCGCTTGCGCTCAGGTGGGCCTTCAGCATCTCTATCAGGGTACATCAGCTTCAGTTGCTTCTTCAATTTCTTATAGGAAATGAACTCATCCCGCCATTCGGGCAGAGTGGATTCAATCAAAATGCACAGAATCTTCCAGAACTTCATAATTGGCCCAAATTACAGAGGAAAGCAAAGGGGGGATTATGTTTATATACACAACAATCGAAAGAAAACGTGAGTGCAATTGCATAGAGAAAATGGGGAATCAAAATGGGAATATGCGATTTTACGATGAAAATGAGAAGGGGGTTAAGGAGAAAAGAGAGAATGGAGGAAACGAGGGGAATTAACAAGAGCATATTATCCTCTGCCGAATCCTGTGGGAATTGAAACAGCATATTACCAAAAGAATTCCCACTTGGGGCTTAAAAAACCATACAAATTACAAACACAACAAAGAGACAAATACGTAAATACAAAAGAGGTCAATTGCAGAAGATCGGAACTCCCCACGGCCATGGCTTCCGCCTTCCTTAAATCCTACAATACGCTTTTTTCTTCTGCACAAGCTGCCAATGAAACTTACCCAATCTCTGGTAATGCCTGTGGAAGCCTTTAATATGATTTTGAGAAACGTTTTCATTTAAGATTGAAATTTGAACTGGCATTTTAAATTTATTTTAAAGGTGATGTGTCAAAAATAATTATAAGAAAAAAGAAATTATTTTTATAATAAAATTTAAGATGACGTGGCATTACATTTCTCTCTCCAGTATCTCCTCACCTCCTCTGCGTCGCGACCCCCTCTCTCATATTTTATTCATTTTATCGATCAGCTTCCCTTTTTTTTCCCTTCTTTGCTGATCACCCATACATATTTGACCGTTTTTTTTTTATTTTCTAAAAAATATAAAAAAAAATAATTTCTTTTTTTATATTTCTCTCTCAAACTTGTCAACAATATAATAGTGATCACCAAAGAGGAAGGTTAATCAATAGGATAGGTACTAAATTTGGCTTGACCAAATTTGAGAAAAATTAAATTTAGAGGAAGAAGAGAGGCCGCGGCAATGGTCAACACCAATAATAGCTTAATGAGTGCACCAACTAAAATTGACAATAGTTTTAAATCATGATTAAAAAAATCCCATATTTAAAAATTAAAATGGAAAATAACTGCACGTTACCAATCCCCAAAGGCCAAAAGAGAATAGCAAACTCATTTGATATAATGAGATGAGTTTTGTGCTAACCCATTCCAGAGTTCTTATATTTACCTTTATAAGAAGCATCTCAAAATCAAAACAGGGATGTCCACGTCACTGGCCCAATTGAGGATGACTCAATCATACTCTATCAGAAAATTTCCTATACTAGGCTAGTATAGATACTATTATCATTTATTATATGTCATGTCAGTAACATTTGAAAATAATATACAGCTCACCCGCACCAAAGAATTATTTATTCTTTAAATAAGTGAACAAAGATCAGTATCATTTGAAAATGATGCAAATGATGTACAATCCACCAGCATCAAAGAATTATTTATAAATGAGCGAACAAAGAGAGTACCAACAAAGTATCTATATATTGGTAGTACCAGAAATTTGTCCATACTCCCCTCGATGATAATTTGACACGTCATGAAGTGATATATTATTTTATTTTTATAGACATACCCTTCTTAAACATGCCCAAAGTATGAAAAAATTTTGGTACTACCACAGTATTAGAAATTTCCCTCTACCCTACCCGTGAGAGCATTCAATTCAGTTTCCATCATATCTAAGCCAACGCCAATACTAGTTTGGAAACAGAATTTTTTTCTACACGAGAAAAGGAAATTCAAACCTACAATTTATAAAGAGAGACAGAGAGAAAATTTTAAGTACTATGCTAGTATAATTTTATATTAGCAAAATTTAAGACTGGTGTGAAATTCTTGAAATATAATAATATATCATGAAAGGAGAATATACTACCATAGTGTTGGAAATTATCTTGAGAGAGATACCAATGTCAAACGAATTGAGCTATGTTTAAATCGATCATTTTAAACTGCAGTAACCCTCTAAAAAATCTGCTCAAATTCAGAGCAATAACAAAAATCAATGGTACTGAGCATAGTAATAATAGTTTTACCATACAAGAATACTACTCCAAACCACTAATCCTTGGTTCTCAACTGCCATTATACGTGATAATCCCACACCCACCCCATTCTATGGGAAACAAATAATATAGTCTGTATTCTCAAACTTTCTACCCGCATGCAATTCTTAATCCAAATCCAAACAATCCCTTGAACTTTTTTTTTTTCCACAACTTTGTGTTCTAACTTACAAACCGAACAGGGTCCCATGAAGAATAATATTGCACCAAATAGAATAGAAAGTACAGTAAACTTATCAATCGCCATGATTACACAGCTGAAGCTCTGGCGTTGATGTGCATGATTGAGAGGAGAAGCAACCGTTTCATTAATCAAAACTCAGTGGGAGGCTTCAACCTTATCAGCCTCTTGATCCTATCTTTTTCCGTGTTCTCCAAGATGCCCTTCACACACATGAACATGTCAGAAAGATTGAAGATGTGAGAAGCTAACCGCTCCATCAAATTCAATAACATAATAGAACAAGCAATAAATTTATCTGTCTAAGAGTACTAAGCCAAAGGAATATTATTAGAGCTGAAATACAATTATTATGGATTACAGATATCTTAGTCTGAAACTCCTTTAATTCTTTAGCCTATGAGATGTACGTTTCTATGATGAAATGTTAGTTTTTATAAGTTCTAAAATAGGACAGATGTAGTCGATATGCAATATTGGATATTCTTTTGCAATTATGAGATGCCCCAAAATTTCTACTCTGAGAGACATTTTGCAAAGCGTTTTCTTAAATTAAAGTTCTAACAGGTGTACATCTATCACTATATCTAGATGGATTTTGAGCCTTTAGCCCCATGAGATCAGTCAGTTCAACCATGAAACCTACAAGAAAGATTCTGATCTGAGTGAGGGGAAAACGAAATAACATACCGTCCAGACGATCTCATCGAGACATAAACAAATCTTTCCATATTTGTCAAGAAACAAACGCTCAGTTGGAGCTTTCCCACAGGCATCCTTTATCGATGATGTTATCACAAAGATGACTTCTGCCACTTAAAGAAGAGAAAATGACATTAATGCAGAGGAAAATAACATAAAGATCAAGTTTATTTTTTGAGTTCAACAAAGGAAGGATTTCAACCTCCACCTATAAGTAAGTAATGTCTTGACCAATTGAGGAAAGTTCATGTTAAACCAAAAAATACAAAACAAACATTATAAATTTCATTATCGGGAGGGAGAAAAAGGATTTAGTCAAAAAGAAAGTGGACTTGACTTACAAGCTAATTCATCGTACTCGTCCTTCCCAACAACATAAACTGCAACATCGCCAAGCACGGTGTAAACTATGTATACAGATCTGTTATAGAAAGTCAACTAAGTCAAATAAACTTCATCTATTTCCGCCATGCGCATTTGAAAATGTTAAAAGTCAAGTTCTTATATTTCAGAATGAGATCAAAATACTAAGAATGAAGTCAATTGAAGAGGAAGCATCATTGTCCTTTGATTTTCTCCTTTTCACCCTAGGGTGGTGGAGAGCAAAAATCAGTACCTCACATACAGAGTATGAAGGAGGAACCATTGAAATTGAAACTCTTCTCATTTTTTTCGAAGACTACTTTTTATTTATAATAAACCACAGTGAAACGTTCATAATTGCTTCTGAAAAACTGATCGGAAGATTCCACTCACTTGTGTGAAGCAACATATAGCTCTTCATTTTTAGCACCTTTGAGATTATCAGCCCCCAATTTCACTAAAAAGGATCGCCAATGCAATCGCTCCTCCGCTGGAACTCCATGAAACCTAATAAAGAAACAAAAATCACGATCAACCGTTCGATGACCAGGAATTCCTAACGAATTGAACTCTAAGTTAAATCCAAGTAATAGTAGAATCCAGATACTACTATCCGCCTAATCCAGCATCCTTCCCTCTACATTTCACTCCTCAACACTATGATTCTCAAACCAGTTCAATCCAAAAGGGAGCATATCTGAAGCTATTCGCGCATTTCATACAATATCATCAAAACAATCAGCAGAAAAACTAAAACAAATTGATCAATTACAGAACGAAACGATTAAATTCACACTTTCTCGCTAACACGCATCAGAAACATAAAAATTCAGTGAAAAGAATGTTCAGTCGGTCGAGCAAGACAACGTAAGGGAGAAGAAAAAGGTACCGTTCGACGAGAATGTTGCCGACGGAGTTGGCGATCAGCACGGCAAGCAACATTCCGATTCTTTCGTCGTCTACTTTCTTCTGTCGGATCGGGTTTTCTGAAGGAATGAATCTCGTGATTCGATGCCTGGAAATTTTTTCCCTGGAAATAAATCATACGATCCCAGTCTCTCAATTTCGCACCATTTTTTTCCTTCACGGTTTGTTTGGAAACGCAGCTAGCGGAACCTAATTCGATAATTATGATAGTGTATCCACGTCTGGGTCGATGTAATCCAGTCTATGTCTAGCAAAAGTGGCTCTTTGGTACAAATCTTAAATATTTTTTGGGGCAAACGGGATTATAGCTAAAAATATAGTTTTAATCCCTATAATTTATTTTTGTTTTCAAAGAAAAAAGGTAACATAAACGTCCAACATAGTTTAATCAGTTAAAATATTATCAATAAAGAAAAAAGAAAAAGAAGAAGTATTTTGTCTTTACAAGCTCTAATCCATTTACAATTCTATTTACAAAGTTTTATTCGGTCAAGAACATCTCACGATAGGACAGCTTGTTGTAATTCAAAGAATTCTCACTTACTATCTACAAATTTACAACTCTGTCGGTAAAGCCTTACCTTGATCAACGCATGACAACTTGTTATAAAAGAGTTTCAACTAACTACTTTTTAACTTTACACTATCGGCCACTTATTCGCACAAATATATTGAACTATATGTTTACTATATATCAGCCATGTGGTTTGATCGCTAAAGTTAATCTAACAACTGTTTGAGATGATGATATGAAATTTTTAATTATTTTATTCATTTAAAATTCACTCGTTGATTTTCAACCCCCACAAATAAGAAATATGACAGTTAAATCCCAAATATGAAAAGATAAATAAAGTGGAAATTGAAATGAATGTGAAACTAACTACTCCATTAGAAAGTCGATTACCAATTAATTTCTCGAAATCAGAAGAAGATCTATCATCTAATGACTACGAGGTAGGATTTCTCCTATTCGAGAATTAAAAGATATACTATTGCTAATCTGTTGTCATTCTTTACAAAAATTACATATAATTATTACCAATATTTGAGTGAATTTATATCGATCTCCCCATTGAATTATTGGCTTGCCCTATAAAAAGAAATAAAAATAAAAAGTAAAGACTTTATGACTTGGGATGGTATCTTTAATTCATAGGAAAGTAACACAACTACACTACTATAAATCCCGTAAAAAAGGTATATTATGATATAGGATATCTCTACATCATTGAAATGTGACAACCCCGATTAATTTTCAACCCAAAAAAAAACAACTTATTTATTATTAATAATAATAATAAATAACTTTGTCCAATCTATTCGGTGATTTATCAAATCATTGACCTCATCCAACTACTTCAACAACGTTGTCTCATCATAACTTTGCTTCTTAAAAGTTTCCTAACAAATTTATTTTTAACATTATGTTTTATAAGCTTAACTTAATAAATTTATTTTTTAACATTATGTTTTATAAGCTTAATTTGTTTATTATTAACAAATCATATTTTTATATTTCACTTTTTATCAGAACTTTTTTTTTTATATAAATTATCTAGATTTTCTAAAATAAAAAGGTAGATTTCATGAAGCTTGTAGTCTTTTGACTTAAAAATAGGTGTTTCTCTCGTCATGAGAATATTTTCGTTCTTTGCAAAGATAAAGAAAAAAAAAACCAACTTCTAAAATAAGAAAATAAAAAAAAAACCTATTTTTTTCCTCCAATAACTTTTGTAGACTAGACCGCAAAAAAAAAATATATATATATATATAATAATAATAATAATAATTCACTCTATCTTCTTGTATCTTCTCTTTAACACATATATTTTATATTTATAAAATAAAATTATGCTTTGATAATCACTATATAGCAGATTTTAAAGATCATTAATTTTTTAATAAATAAGATATTAAAAGCAAAGTTTGGTTATTATTATTATTATTATTTTTATTTTTCTAAAAGTATAGATTAAAGTGATTATCAAATATCTATAGTTTTCGTTTGTAAAATTAAAAAAAAAAACTTTTTTTTGTAAAGGTAAAACTAAAATAAATAAAAACAAAATGTTACCATTTTTTTTAAGTATAATATTGTAGAGTTACACAATTGTCTTATAAAATTGGTCAAGATGTCAATAAATGAAGAAGAACCATCACGAATATACATAGAAAATGTAGTCGTTCCGAGTATATAACTTAGTGAATAATGTACTTAATACCATCTCAAAGTCGATAGTTCAATTTTTCATCCGTATATAATTGTTAAACTCAAAAAAAGAAATATAAAATGTTTAAATATTATTTTAGTTTACCTATAATTTCACTTTTTTGTTAATTTTGCATTTTGGGCTAAAAATTACCATTTTGGTTCTTTTAATTATTTAGTTTTCATCTTATTTTTTTAATCACAATCTCTACGTGACACTATTATAGTCTCGCTGAATTTATTGAAATATAATCATAATTTGTTATTAAATATTTCAATTCATGTTAAAAAAATTAAATATAATCTAAGATAGTCCCGTTTTAAAAGTTTAAAACCAAAATAGACATTGAATATCGACTGAAATTAACGATTTCAAAGTAAAAGATACGAATAAATTGAAAGCATGTATATTAAAATAATATCTAAAAAGAGAGAAAAAAAAGTAATGCTGACTTTTCAACGTGGGAACATTAAATGAGACGCTGTACGGGGATAAAATTGTCAAACATTCATTTAATTTCATGCAGTGGGGCAGAAGAAACCTCTTCAGCCATTCGTTTTTCCTCTTCAAAATTCGTGGTTCCAAATTTCCCATTACATTTTCGTTCAATCCTATAAAATATTTACTCTCTTTTTTTAGCTTAACTAAATCGTGGCGGCGTGGAGGATTGGAACCATTGAATCTAAATTTGTTAATATTTGGAAGTCTTAAATCTTAGCGCTGACTATTTGATTTAGTTCTCCGTAGTAAAAATGTGGAACTGGACATCTCGAAATATAGCATCGATCTAATATATGTCGTATTCATTTAGTAGTTATGTTCGGATTGACTCTAAATATTAACCATCGTAAATATCTAATAATATTCAAATTTATGATATTTCAACGGAGATAGAAATATAGTCAATAACTATTCACTACTATTTAAGATTAACTTTATTTTAGTTATATTTTTGTTTATATATTCAATAGGTATAGCTTTCATAAACAATCCGACAGTTTAACAACATTAACATAGCTTAGTAGTTCAGATATATATATTTTTTTGGTCATAAGTTTAAATCCTCATCAAGCTAAACATAGTTCGATTAGTTAAAACACTTATTTCCGACCAAAATATCATGAGTTCGAATCCTCACACCCATATGTTGTACATGTGAATTTTTTTAACCTATGAAATACTCAAATTGCAAATATTTAATTTACTTGATTCATGCCTATGAAACTAAATTATATATACACTACAATTCTATGTAAAAATAAAAAACATTTAATATTTATCATGAGTATAACTCTCAACTGAAATAAAGAGCATTTAATATTTATCCATATAAGTATAATTAACGGGTTAAGATATATATTTTTACGTTCGAATTGACACTCCTACATGTCATACTATATATATATTTTTTATATTTTTATATGTAATTTTCTTTTGAGGATGTAATTAACATTATGAGAAAGTTTTATAATATCGTTTTTTTTGAGTTTATAATATCGTTACTATTATAAATATTAGTGTTTATTTTAAATAAACGGTTGAAATTATTTTGGGCCAATTAGCTACAGGGATAGATTATTGGATGTCATGTGCCCTAGCAAAAATTATACAAGACAAATCATTAAATATTTTCCAAATAAAATGCGAAGGTTAAACTTATTAATAAAACATGACAGCTGGGATGGCCAAATATTAAATCTAATAAATTATATCATATTTACTAATTTATAATTTTCTGAATTACAATTTTAGGTTTAAACATGCATTTTGGTTCAACTACTTTTTAAATTTGGTTCTTTTGATCCATTTATTTTCAAAACTTTCATTTTCGTCTATATACTTTCAACTTTTGTTCAGTTTGGAAAAACATTTATTTTGATCTCTCTACTTTTAAAAAGAAACTATTCTAATCCCTTTATTTTTATTTAATGTCTTTCCATCATATTAGCATACACTTCAATCACTCAATTTCTTGAAATGTATAATTATAAATTTATATTAAATAATTTCCATTGAGTATAAAATTTGTGTTAAAATTTTAGAAATAGAAACCAAATTCGTCAATTTTTAAAATTATATCAAAACTAAACTAAAATTTGGTCAAGTTTTGAAAGTACAAACACTAAAATAAATAAAGTTGAAAGTACAAAAAACAAAATGAACGTTTTGAAAATACAGTAACTAAAATGAATCAAACTCAAAAAAGTAGTAGACCAAAATAGTATTTAAATCTGTAATCTAATCATTTGTAAGTTCAAAAACTTCACTGAAAATCATAGCCAAACTATCACAAATCTTACCAATAAACATCATGGAAGATGCTTTTTATATATTTTTTATTACTTTTCTTTTTTAGGAACAATGCAATGTTTTTTAGCCAAGCAATATTCCTCAACTTGATTACTAGGTTAGCTTAACATCATAATGACAATTTTGTTTGGGATATTTGAGTCATATAAGACTTCTCGAGTATCTATTTTTTGAACCAACAACAATATACATCAATCAAATTCGAAATAGACGTGATTATAAATGCGGGAAAATTAGGTTGAACCTCCTCCGAAGTATAAAAGAATATCGAAAGCTTATTTATAATTTTTCTATTACGACTCTAGTAACCTTTTAAATCTCATACTATTTAGTTTAAATACTATGGTTGATATTTCGTGTTAAAAGTCTAATTATAATTGAATTATCTTATAAGAGTGGATAAATACAAGTGTTTTTTAAAATATGAGTGTTATAAGAATGGAGAAATGATTAAAGTACCATAATTTTTTTTTTTTGGATCCTAAGACTAATAGAAACTACCAAAACATGGAATTCATATGGTTTGAACAATCTCCGGTTAGCCAGTGATTAGTCGAGACGTCGGCAAGCTTGTCAAATATTATAATATTAAAAAATCAAAGGAAGAAAAATATATGGTAAAAGTCTTGCAACTGTTGGAAATTAAATATCAGCCAATTCATAAACATAACCCAAATAATCCCTTGCTCATAATCTGCAAACATTATTTTCTTTCTATATATATATAACTTACAAAGATCAGAAGTCTTCTATGATTTTGATTCAACCTGACATAAAACAGTAACTTATATCTATATCTATATGCAAAAGCTCCCACTTTATACAGATTTGAGCTTCCCAAGTCCCACAAACAGCTTCATATAAGGGCTGACAGTAACAATAAGCAGCCATTGCACAACAATATATGTATAGAGAGATATATAGATATATAGATATATAGATATATACACAGTCAAACACAGATTAATTAAGCCTTTTTTTGGTTTTGGGTTTTATGGGTTTTTTGTTATAGAGTTGAGTTTTGTGTTGAGATCTTGTGTACTTAGCTTGAAGTTGAAGGAAGAGGGCAGTTCCAGTTGAGCAATTCTTCAATCATTTGCATTGCAATTCTGTCTTCTTCATCAATTCCATTCCGGTGGCCATCTGCTTCCCCGCTTGCCGATTCCAATGACGGCGACGGGGATGGCGTCTCCGTCTCTGTCTCCTTCTTTCCTAGCTCGATCCTCATGACCCAATTGGAGGCAGCGCGAGTGCCAGCGCGCTTCTGCCAGACACCGATGTGGGCGTTGTCGCTGTCGAGCCGCAGGCATGTCAGGGAGGGAGATGGGTTCTTGCAGCACTTTCTGAGCTTTGTACTGAGTAGCTCTGAAAGTGCTTTTGGGGACAATGGAGAAGATCCATCCCCATGCCTGCCTTCTTCAGCTTGGTTCTTCGATGCAGGGAAATTGGTCTTGGCGTTTTGGCCGTTCATCAAGATGGCTGCTTGATCATACGCTCGTGCTGCATCCTCGGCCGTGTCAAATGTCCCCAGCCACACCCTTCTCTTCCTACCAAAAAGAAAAGAAAATTGAAAAACATCAGAATGTGGGCTCAATGCCATTTGCAATAATAATGTCGTTTACAAATCTGCAGATACATGCGTCTCCATGGCAGCCATGGCCGGTCACCTTCTCTGGGGCAAATCAACGAAAAGCATAAAAAAAGCGGGTTTTTTCATAGCCTTTTTCAACCAACAAACATAAGCAAAACAAATATACAACGTTTGCAATAATGATGTTAAGAAACGACGTATAGCTTCTTTCAGGAAAACCAACAAACAGGTTATGGGCACCAGACAGAAGATGGGTTTTCACTTTCCAGAGCGTTTTTAGACCAACAAACATAAGCAATAATCCACATATTTTCAGCAGAAGAATACACAAAATTTGCAATAATAATGTAGTTTACAAGTATGCAGAAATATGCGCCGCCAGCCATGGCCGCCCAATTCATTCAGGCAAATCATCAAACAGGTTATGAGCAGCAGACACAGACAGAAAATGGGGTTACAGAGCATCTTTAAACCAACAAACCCACCAATGTCGCATACATTTATAGCAGAAGAATAAACAACGTTGTGAAAATGGGAATTTTACAGTAATGGGTGGCGGATTTCTGACACCCAAGAGCCCCACTGCCGCTGCCTGACTCCTCTGAACTTCCTCGAATAAACCATAACTATAGAGAGAGAGAAACAGAGGGCAGAAACCACAACCAGCGAGGGAGAGAGAGAGAGAGAGAGAGAGAGAGATAAATTAAAAGAAAATAAAACAGGTGAAGAGAGAGTTGAAAAACGTAGAGAGAGTAATAATTTCAGGCATTTATATAGAGGTGTCGGTGGGAATTGGGAAGTCTGCTGTGCTGAGAGAGTTGTACTTTTAATGGCGTTGGCCATTAAAAGTTTCACCTGCTCAACCATGAAAGATCCACAGACTCGCAGCTTCTTAACAACCAAATTTAATGAATCGCATTAGAATTGGCTGCAACTTTTTCTCTCTCCCATTTGAGAAATGGGGAAAAATGGAACCCGCAGAACTTCTATCTTGTCTGGTATCCAAAAAGAAGTTTCAATAATTTCAGCTGTGAGCTTGGGGAAGAAGAAAGTGGAGGTCCACTTCATAAACCGCCATTTATAATCCCGGTGAGGAAGATGGAGTGTTTCAACTCAATAAGGGGCTGTTTCGCTATTAACTCGATATAAAACAAAATAACAATAATGATAGAGAGAAAATACTCTTTCTTTTTTTTTTAATCCCTTAATTTTCAATTTTTTGTTGGTCTCTATATTTCAAAATACCTCATGTAGGGGACTTTATTGAGGTAGCAAATCCCAATTTTAGGAGTTTTAGGTACATCGCGATTGGATGGATCAATATTTATGGATGTTTTTCTATCCAATCGCTTTATACCGGGACGGTTTCTTCAGCTAACACTATGATAAAGTTTTAATTTAAGATTGATGTGTTGCATATGATAAGGTAATTGCATTATGAATACCGCCATCCTGATTTCAAGTATAATCACATTAGAGTATAATATCATGATGTTCATATTACGCGGTTGGTATAACGTCGTATAGTGCAATATATAATACAATGCCCCATGTTATTGAAGTTGAATAATTATGATTTCAAGTACTAAAATAGAGTGACTAGGTGTTAGTAGGTATTATAGGATTACTATGTTTCTTCCTTTCTTCTTCATTCTTCTTTTTTTCTCTTTCTTGTCTCCGTTAACATTTAGACTTTGCCCTATTTATTAAGTTAAGTTCAAACTTTATCTGTTATATTAAAAAAAATAGTTAGAAAATATTGAATTTTTTTTAATGGAATATAGTTGGTTGGAATTTTGTCAAAAATATTAATGACATAGGTTAAAAGAAGCAAAAATTCATACACAATTGAAATTCTTTAAGAATTTCGCTACTAAATAAATATGATACTTAAAATTAATCAATTTATTCAATATGAATATGTATGTGGCATTCCGCAAAAATTTTATAATTTTAACATGTATTGGTCTGTATGTAAAATTTTTATATTTTGTTTTGCCTCAACAGTTAGGGTAGATGGAAAAAATATAATAATAAAATAACTTCTGAAAAAAATTAGGTTTAAGCTTTAGGATTAGAATTACCCCAACACTCTTGAAATAGTTACAGACGTTTATCAAAAATATAATCTATTAATAAAGACGTCTACTATTAATATACTTTAATCATTGATAAATTGACCGATGTAAATGAGTAATATACAAATAAAAAAAAGAGGGTGAGAAAGAAAACAAAATTACTTTAAAAAAAGTTTAAATAGGTGCATGAAAGCTAAAAATAAAAATAAGAAAAGCATTAAATTTACAAAATCATAATCAATTATATTTTGCTTATGTGAAAATGTGAATGGTTAGTAAGCTACAAATAAAGGGCACAATAAATATTTATTTATAAAAAAACTGTGATTTTTTTTAGTAAAAAATATTAAATGATATAGAATTTAAAAAAAAAAACTTTTAAATATTCGGGTTTTTTTTCCTTCCCTTCCTGTCGTTGGGAATCTTTAAAGAGGCCTTTTTGTGAAGTTATTGGACCTCTAATCCAACCCAATAAGGCCCATTATAAACCCACATTAACACTTAACATCTTATCTTCTTAATTCCAATTTTACCCTTTGGTTTTTTTTCTCTTCTCCCTCGGTTTAAATTTTATTTTGGCTCAAACCTTTTTTGGTTTATTTCATCTCGATCACACTTCTAAATAATGTTTGCCCTTAAATTTCACCTAAAACTATATTTGGCAATTTCATATGACGTAAATCTTATATCTACTAAATTACATGCATTAAGTTTATGTATTTTTTTTATTATTTTATCGAGAAGATGAAAATGAGAACTTATGAAATTATGACTTGGCATTATGTTTTAGGAATAAAAATATATTAAACCTACCAAATTATACTAGGAGTACAACATGTTGGGATGAGACTCGTAACCTCTTGATTAGAGGTGTATGCCAATTACCACCGAGCTATGCTCACTACCAAATTATACTATGAAACGTCTTTTTTGTTTTATTTACATTCTCTTGTGGAGTTATGGTTGATATAATCATTATAATATTTATACTCTAAGGTTAGAGGTAGTATTATATATATATATATATATATATATATATATATATATTTAACCCATGATTTTTTGGTTAGAGATAGGTGTCTTGACCACTTAAAATATGTTCGGTTTGGCAACATAGAAAGAAACTAAACGTGTGATATCATTAAAAGTATATATATAAAGGAAACGTGGGGAGGGGGGTGTGGGACGCGTAATGCAAGAAGTCAAAAAGGCAGGTTAGGCTTATAACTTATAAGTTAATAACTTATGGCATGTGTAGTAATTTCACATCCGTAAAATTTTGATTGGTTACTAGGTGACCCACCCAGTAAATTATTAAATTAAATGAAAAGTGCGAACAAAATATATTTTCAAAATCAACTATTTTTTTAATTTAATGGATGTTGGAGTAGAAAATGAGTCTTCAATCTCAAGGAAGATACAAATGTTTAGTTAGGTTCATCTTAGTATAGACTCCACAAATTCAAGCCACACATGTTTTTACCAGCAATACAATTGAAATCAAAGAAATTGATCGAGATCGAGAAAGTTGGATACCTTCTAGAGCCACATGCCTATAAACTTATCATCGATGTTGATGTTCTCAATAGGAATGTTGGTCTCCACGCTGTAATTTGTGACTCAAATAGTTAGGTAATGGCTTCTACTTGGACATTTCAGACGATGTCATGATATGTGGTACTTGTTGAAAGCATCACTTTGCACAATAATTGGGTATTAGGTTATTGTGAGCGAAATTTTACTCTTCCATTCTCTATAATCTAATAAAGGAACAACGTTATGAGAATGAAACTCAACTCTTTGTAAATGAAATCAATGATAAATACTGAACGAAAGTTGTCGATGACTTCATTCTTACTTAAATGGCCTACAATAAAGTTGTCTATGCCTTAACAACTCATGTTTAGAAAACTCGCCACTCTAAAATTTGGATCGAAAGAAATGCCCCCGAGCTGTTCACACTCTTCACAAAGACGCCACTTCCATTTTCTGAATTGTTTTATCTTTTTGTCTTTTTTCGTTCTTTGCTGGTACTAAAAAAAGACAAAAATTAATCCTCCTGTCTAATTAATCAAATTTATAATATCTACGTGAACATAATTTAACATATATCATTCACCAAAAAGATCAAAATTCAAATCTTTTATCTCAATTAAATCGATGGCGTCCTCAAAATTAAGCTACAAAATTACCAAAACACCAACCAATTAAAATCAACCAAATTTAGTCAGCAAAATCATGCTTAACCCCAACAACAACAACCAAAAATAAATAAATAAATAAAAATCAAAAGCCAACCACGAGATCGAGAAGTTAGGAAAAGGTCCATATTTTATTCGATATTAAAACATGCTTAAAATAGCAAAAGGAAAAGGGAAAAAAAATCAATATCACCATATCTTGAAAATTACATGATCTGTATTGATTTAAATATTAAAATTGATTTCATCATTTACTTGAGAGAACAGTTTAATTTAAATTTAATCATAAAAATAAAAAGTTTAATGACATAAATACAATTCACATAGTTTATTTAAGATGTCGGTAACATTTCTTATAAATAAGAGGTCTAAATCTTGTACCGACACAAACCTAGTTTAATCAACCAAAATATTACTTACCTTCCTAAAGCTCGAAATTCAATCTCAACTTTAAAAAATCAAATCTCTCCTAAATTTATGAAAACCAAAATGAATATTTTATCGTAGAATCAAATTTAGAAAAATATATATATATATATATACATATACACCAAAGAAGAAGAATAGATAGCATAGGATTAGGGTTATGGCTTGATAATTGACAATCCTATCCCCCACTTGGGCTGGCCACCATATCCATAGTCCATTCAGATGGTGGAAACATTGATCCAAGCCAAGAGTTTTTTTTTTCTTTTTTTTTTTTATGAAAAGCCATTGTGGGGCCCTGCTTTTTTCATTTTTTTAAACCATTCAAAATTTGACAACTCTTTTAATCTTTTTGAAAAATATAATAGTTCTCCCTTTATACATTTCTTTCCTTGTTGGTTAAAAATTGAATGGGGGTAGTGTTTATCGGTCAACATCTAAATATTTATCTTTTCTTTTGCCCAAAACTTATAGTAAATATTTAAAAGTTTTTTCTCGTCTTTCTYATTCCGAATAGAAACATTAAAAAAACGTTTAAACATGATGTGCACAAAAGTTTGATGACTATAATATAATAATATATGAAAAATTAAGAATAAATTTTGTTTTTCTCACTATTCCCCCAAAACTATAGTTTATATATAGGAAAATAATTGGCTCCTTAATAATGAGAAAGAACTTTGTCCTCCTCACCACTAAATATTTAACAACTCATTATTATTTTAAAAAAAATTTTGTTTTTGCATTTCTATCTCTTACTTGTCAAATATTGAATGACCAAGAAGACAAGGTTCCTCCTGTTGAGGAGACAAGTATTATTCTTATATATATATATGTAAAAATTGAAAATTCAAACAAATTTTATAATTTTAAATTTGTGTCTAATAAATCCCTAACCTATCAAACAATTTTTTTAATTTAGAGACAAATTAAATACATCATTCAAAATTCAGAGAATGACACGATAATTTAACAATAATTTTTAATTATTTTTTTCTATTTTGATCCTATGAAATATATTATATACTTCTACGTAATCTCCAAACAGGAAATTTCCAAGCCGTTGGAGAAAAAAGGAATAAATAAATAAATAAATAAAAGGGGGCAGTTTCATGTGGTGTATTGTATTATTAACTACAAATTGGTCAAATCGGTGCAGATGAATGAATCTGCCACCGCGTTGGGGTTAAATTATAATTATGAAAAAGTTGCGGCCTCCCGATGATATTATGTTAAATTTGGGGAGAAGGGGGGTTTTTATTAATTAATTAATCCTTTTTAATCGATCTCGTCAATGAAACGCGGCAATTTTACTTTATGTGGCAATTAGTATTAAACTATTAGGTTAGATTATCAATTTAATCTCTATAATTTTAAAAATTTTATTTGGTTATTTATATGGCTCAA